GAAGACACCTGGCCTCAGTTGAACATTCCAAATACGACCAAGAATGGTCCGTATAGAAGATTTGGATACGGGTGTTTCAGAGCAGAGCTTTAACAGGAAAGAGGATTTGGCAAAACGTTCCGCCAAGTCAAAGTTTGGGGTCAAGCTAACGACCAAGTTGGCGCTGATATTAGAGGAAATAGAGGGTCCAAACAGTCCCATCTTTCTTGGCGTAGTATTACGATAAGGTGCCACAGTAAGAAACATGATGACACAAGTGGGACACTGAGGACCACCGAGGACCTACAGCAGAGAAATGACGCACAAAACGGTGAAAAGGATACATATTGAATGGACACGGAGTAAAGGCAAAGGGAAAAACGACTAGCTACAAGCGGCAGCGGCTGTTTTACGGAAAAAATCATATAGGATTTCGTGACGAGGGTTTGGAAAGGAAAAAAATGTAAGGCGCGTGAGGCGTGTTCCCGTTTCCATCCTTTGCGTGTATTGAGTTCTCCCTTTTCCATTCATCTCTAATCCATACTTGTAAATGTTAGCGGTGTTCAACGGAGGATTCGTAGGGCTAGCATGCATGTTCGAGGTATAAATTTTTTAAAAAATCATAATATTGAGTAGGTTGCCTTGGTTTAATTTGTAGAGGTTATTTAACTCAAACTCGCCCCGCCAATCTAGGCAGGAAAGAACCCACCTGTCAAACAAATGACGAGTGATCACATGGCCCTACTTTTAGAGGGGCTGGTGAGTTGGATCGGTCGAACGTGTGGAAGGACAGGAAAGGCAAGTTGGCGAGTTAGATAAACACTCCGAGCGAACATTGTTAAGCAAACAAAATCATTGTGCGTTTGTGCACTTTTTTTGGATAATTTTTTGTGCGTCGGGTTAATACAAATATAATTGCGATTCTGTACCAAACTGATTTTGAAAACATGAACTTAAATAACATGATAGAAAAAAAAAAACCTCTGAAAAGACCATATTCTTTCTGTGAACACGCTTAATGTTGTTCATGATTTTTTTTCATTAAATACTAATTTTGATGACTCAATTTCTTTTTTCTTTTGAAACTTCATTAACGAATAAGCTGGGTTCAAGATTACAAAAACAGAGGTCCTTTCTTTCTTCAACAAAAGCAGAGGGAGGTCATAAATGCATGCATAGTTCCTAATTGTTCCTTTTCTTGCATTAAAGTCTTTATTATTTAAATGAAGTCATCATAGCATCACTATGACATATGGCCCATAATTGACTAGCTTGCATGACCTATAGTATTTGAATACAACGGCATTGTCTGATTATCACTAAAAAGCAATTTGAGACGGCAAATATTTATTGTTTCTCTGTCTGATTATCATACTTGCGGGGTTCATGATTCTAGAAAGTGGGCCTTGAAAATGAAATGCAGGTGGAGATCTCAGTAATGGGAATAATATACGGAGAAAATTATAAAAACTGACCCTAAACATATATTGTTAGAGTTCTATTTTGTTGCGGTTATTCTTTTAATATTAATTTGTTAAATTATAGATAATAATTTATTAAATTTTAGACAATAATCTATTAAATTACGTCCAGTACCGGCTACCGGAGACCCGTCGTCGGCGACATCTATCAAATTATCAATAATAATTTGTCAATTTACTTACTCTAAATGAACAAAACTTAATAGACTAATGTTAAGACTTAAAAATCTTTAATAGTACTATTTTAAGGAATATTTGTCAAAATTATCTAATAATATATAAAAATAAAGTTTGAAAGTAACAGTGCAATTAATGCTTGTAATCTGATGTCAAGTTTTCACGTAAGTTTAATCGATCGTTTAACATGTAGGATATTTCACTCACTCCTTGGAAAAAAATAAAAGGGTCGGTACCATAATATTATAATTTATATCGATTCTCTTTCACGCTTAGTTTAATTTGCTTTCTCTTATCTTTACCATGAAAAAATAATTCAAAAAAAAAATTGAAAAATCACAACACCACACATGATCATCCTTTTGTATGCCGAATCATAGCCTGTGACTTTGGGCGGGTCATTGGTCATAATCAAATGAAAAATAAAAAATAAAAGAAAGAAAAGAGAAAAGAGAAAAATTTTAAAAAATAAAATAAAAGAAAGAATTTGAAAAATGAAAAGATTGGATAATGTTTATGAAGTTTTCATCTACCAATCCATGAGCCACACTTCACCTACCTTAGAGAATCCCACCTACTTCCCACCTTGTCGATAAAATTATGCATTAACATATGAATAACGCAGTGCTAATAATAATAATAATAATAATAATAATAATAATAATAATGACAACAATACTATTAATTTTCTTCTAGTAAAATAATAATAACAATAATCTTTTAAAAATAATTAATAAATAAACAGTGCCGCGTTCCCTTTTTACAATTTAGGTATTAGGTATAAATTAGATGCTCGATTCTCGATATAGCATTATGATTAAAAAAAAAATCATCCCTTTTTTTTTTCGTAAAAACGATGAGGAAAGCCGAATCCTGCAGTTTTTGATGCATTTATACGGGCATATAGCAAAAGAGAGCTTCAAATGAAAAAATACATTTGAAAATTAATCTAACGTATGTTAGCAGCTAACTTGATGCCAAACCAAAATCTACACACTTATGAAGAAAATATGCTTAGATTATGGAGTTTGAAAAAAACATCTTTATATTATCTATTAGTGACATGGTATAGTTTTATTGGTTATGAACTATCGATAAATTATTACTTAAATCTCTCTTTTAACTTCAGATGTGCGTCAATTCTAAATTCTGCTTTGTTGACTTTAAATTTTGATCTCACAGTCACAGCACGTAAAAAAGATTATTGCCATTCACATATTTTAGCATGTGCTAAGCTTGAGAAACAGATAATTAGGGGGGGAAAAAAACTTAATTCAAAAATCTAAACCGGTTTAAAGTCAAGATCCACCATCTCCCATTTTGTCTCATTGGCTTTACCAACAATATTATTTTGTGATAATAAGTTTAAGAATTTGGCCATATGAAAAATACTAAAGATTGAAAATACTTAAGCAATTAACTTAGTTGTCAGAATAATATTTGAGAAACGATTGATGAGACATGAGAATATTTATACAAGAGATAACTGAGGCATCTAATGAAGCATTTTTATGTGGCAAATGAAAGAGTGAAAGCGAGACAACAAGAAATGAATTTTTATATTGGAATAATGCATGTTTCTAGACGTTAGATTATAAAATTTATAAAATTTGTAACTTGTTTAATGGTATAAAATAGAACCCTATCAATGAGATATTATTTTAATACTATAACGTGAAATCTCTTTTTATAATGGGGATTCTTATTCTGTATATTTCTTAATATTATATTTAATCAAAATCAAATCAACGTAGAAAAATATACAAAATTTACAATTTAAAATAGAGTGTTACTAGTATAATTTTTCTTTCATACTTTACCGTAGAATTCTCTAAAAATATCACCCAAAAAAATTAAAAAACCAAGATCCAAGGATCTAGTCATGATGGTTGTCTAAACCACTTTGTTAATGGCCCGTTCATTTTGCTAATTTGAGTTTGTAATTCGAGTTGAGATGTGATTTTGTGTGAGAGTTTTTTACTGTAGTAAAAAAGTTAAATGTGACTGTTTCTAAGAGCTTTTTACTGTAATAAAACTCAAATCGGCGAAGTGAACGAGGCCGTTCATCAACCCGTTTCCTTTATTTTCCCCCCTTAAACTATTCATTATGTTCCTTTCCGAGTCCAATAACTGTCCCGGCAGAAGGGGAGCACTCCTTCCAAGCAAGAAGGGAGAAACTAGAAAGCATTTGATCATCCATCACATGGGAATCCTATATAAGCGTTTGTGGACGTCCCCAAAAGGCAAGAAAAGTGAAAGTGAAAAGCATACATGAAAAGGAGCAATGCATTGGATGAGGTGGGATTGGGGACCCCCCCTAGTCGGCTAGCCCTAAAGGACATAAAATAAAGTCAAAATCGTTCTCATTACGAATGTAATTTGGTGCCTAATTGCTTAGCAAAGCGTGACTTTAGCGGTTTTGCTATTATAACTAAAGTTATACCTAACTAATCAACTAATTACATCTCATCACTTTTGAGCAGCCTCGAGAAATTTCCTACTAACATTGACAAATTCGCATCACATCCTACTGACTTTCATTTCTTTTTTCCCCATCTCAGATCAAATAAAAGTATATTCAACAAGATTTAAAGCGATTTACTCAAAAAAAAAAAAAAACAAACAAACAAACAAACAAACCACTAAAAGTGGTTATCCGTGTAAACACCATCGGCTGTCAATTCATGAAAGTCCCTTTCACACGATATAATTTAGCTCCGCAAATTTTGACACAAACATAAACTTTACAGGCCTGTTTTCTGTCATTCACTTATGGGAATGTTATTAGTATGATCAAGCGTTTTGATTCCAATTGCAACTAGTTAGGTTCTACTGTGTGGTTTAATCGAGTTAAAAAATTGGAATATGAACCTAAGAGCGCTCATTTTCGATGGGTATTTTTAGAGTAGAATTCAGTGATACGTTCACCTACGGTAAAAACACTATTAAAAAGAGGTGGGGGTAGAACGTGATAGGAATACCGTTGGTTATTTAGGAGACGTTTAGTTTATGGATTAAAATCATAAGATTAAAATTATTTTTAATTTACGTGTATTTTTTATAAGAGAAAATACTGTAACGAACCATGAATTATGATTTAAATCATAATATAAATTCTCTTACCAAACGTCTCCTTAATGTGACGAGGTCTAAAGTTCAAGTCAGTCTCACTATACTAAACAGAATATAGAAGTAGTATACTCTGTAAGAGAAAATTTCACATGTCACAGAGGATATACGACCTCTCAATATTATCTTGCTATGCCACTTTTCTTATTATTGTACCTTTTTCTTTAGGAGTAAAAAAACAAAAGGAATGAAATCTAATCGTATTCACTACACAAACATAACCACAAGGACAGGTAGACAAACTGAGATCTGACAATCCGTGTGTATATATTGTCCTAACAAACATCCGAATGAACACTCGAGCCATTATACAGAAGAATATAGGTGGATCAAACAACGGGAAAAAAAAAAGAAATAGAAAAAGGAATGACATAGATAAAGGTCTAAAATAACAGAGAGATAAGAATATTACAAAAGTCAATTTAATTCACGGATCCAAAAATCATATAGCTAGGGGTCGTTGCGTGGCTTGACCATTGTTGAACCCATCACAGGGCTTAGTGGACTTGTTTGACTTCTTCCTTCTCAACACTACAACCCAAGTAACTGCTTCCAAAATCAAGGCAATTCCACCCAACGCCCCTATGGCTATTATGTAAGCAGATTTCCACTTCTCCGCAGGTTTTAGAATGTTAAGTCCTTTGAAAACGTTTAGAACGCCAAGCACAATTATGGCGTACCCGAGGCCGTGGTGGTATATGTTCCAGTAGAATCTGTACTTGTGCTCCTTCTTTGGCCTTAAGAAAAGCGCAAAAATCTACCCAAAAAAAAAAAGAGAACACTAATATCATCTATGTATAGATAAATTAATTAAAAAATTCAACACGTGAATATTTAAATTTAAGATATATTAAAAATTTAATACATAATGATAATTTAATAAGAATAAAAATGTAATTATAAATATTTAAATTTAAGATGTTTCACCCTAATACCATGTTAATTTACCAATAAATTTATTACGAGGTAGGCCAATATATTTAACATTCCATGCCACTGCTTTTTTCATGTGATCACAAGAAGTGATGTAGATAATTTTTACCTGCACAGTTGCGAGGCTGAAGAGGGCAATGCCGATATTGCGGTGGCTGGACCATTGGATGCCTTTCGACTCGCTTCCGAGCTTCAATCCGGTTGCCCAGCCGGCGACTCCGATGGCATAAGCGGATATCTGACAGAACACATGAAGGTAAAACCATGCCGGATCGGCGGACTCAAAACTCCTTGCGTACCTGGCTATGACTGCTCCCAGTGGAAACAGAATTCCCCAGCTTATAGCGTTCAATATGCCGTGAATCTGATACAAAGAATGACATAATTTAGTAAAATTTTAACAACAGAGGAGCTTTTGGACCCCAAATCTTGTTTTCTTTGATATATTAATTGTCTCTGTGGATCATTTCAAAGGAAAAAAAAAAAAAAAAAAAGTGCGTTTAGATGAATCACTATAGACGGATGCACACAATTTATTTCGTTATTTTCTCAAAAGGTAAGCTGTAAATACTAAAAACACTGCTGGAAGAACAAATTTCTAGTTTACATTAATCGAATAAAATAAAATAATTTGAAAAAAAACGAAAATTAAATATTTTAATTCTTCCGTCCATGTCCCAATACACTTCCAGTAACAAAACAGGAATTAAAAGGTGGAAAGAGTAAATAATTTATATTTAAAAGCGAAAATTGTAGTTTCAGACATGTAGATTATGTTGAAAATTGAACATAGAAAATGCTTTCAAAAAAAGTTTAGCTTCAAACACCAAAAAATTCGGCTGTGAGAAGAATTTTCCTATCATGAATTTCAAAAAATAAAATAAAATAAAATAAATCATAAAAGAGATAGAGAGAGAAAATCCAAAAATCAAGAGATGAAAAAGGACGAAATGATTCGCACATTCTTCCTCTTGGTCCTGGAGCCCACACCAGAACCGGCGGTGGTAGTAGTCCCAGTCTGAGAGCCGGTCAAGCTAAGAGTTCCTTTGGCGTTGAGATTTGGGGGCTGAAACTCGTGCTTGACAGGCCTGCCGTCGGTGACGGAGGACCCCACCTGCCATATGTAGTTGACAGACGAGGCCTTCTTCGGTACCTTCATCTTCGCGAAGATCCTCAAGTCGCCGCCGGAGTACTCGGCGCTCTGGTCCCACACCTCCAGGGAGAGCTTTGGCGTCTCCACGACGTCGCTGTAGGAGCTGATGTTGTAGGTCTTGACAACCACCGCGCCGTCCGATGTCCTCATGGCCAGCAGGGACTGGGCCCCCGCCATGCCCGTCCCCGTCGGATTCAGACCCCAGGCGATCCAGCCGTTGGATTTGGCCGGAGGCGCCACGAAGGCGAGGGTAAGGGATGAATTGGACGAATCGTAGGTCCAGTGGAGGTAGGAGCTGAGGGTAGGGAGGTCGAGGCAGTTGGAGTAGAGCCTGTTGTTGGTGAAACTCTGGGATTTGCAGGTGAGGGAACGGGCGGGTGAGATTAGCAGAGCCACCGTCAACCACAGAGGAAGCCACGCCATTGCCTTTAGAGCAAGGAAACTTGAGAAGGAAGGTGAAAGCTCCGCGAGAGAAAGAAAGAGCCTTTTCTTTCCACTAAATTTTTGGCGGAATGTCAGAGCTGTGCCTCTGTGTCTCATTAGTAGCATAAAGCAAGTGACTATTATAGATTTCCCTTTTTTTATAAGCAAAATTTCCAAGAATATTTTCTGCAGTTTTCTTTAATTAGACTTTGCCTCTATATTTTCAGAAATTTAATATTTTATACTTTGCAAAATGTCAAAAGAAACGTAAGGGTAAAATTTGAATAAAAATATAATGGAGATATATTTTTGGAATTTTATTTCTTTTGGCCTCAGAGATACCGGATACGGTTACGGTGGGATTGCTGGAAGAATTCCTGAGGAATTAAGCGAATCAATAGAGAACACGTGGGAAAGGTTACTCATGAGAATGATGACGTGGCGAACGCTGCTTAAATAGTTCCTAGACTCGCGGTTGAATTTAAGTCAAAAATCTTTGAGAAATAGGAATCGCGATTTGTGGAGGTCACGCGCACCATATGAAATATAAAAATCTGAAACTTATGATTTGAGGAATAATTTAATGCTAATCACATGTTTGTTCTCTATTTTAAGTGGGGAGGTAGTTTTAACCATTTCCCGGTTCATGTATGTTTTGGATTTATTCGTACTTGTGCTTAAAATCCGCTCTCTGTTCCTTTTCAAAAATAATAAATAAATAAATATATCAATTAAAAATAATCTTCAAACGCTACCTTGTATTATTGTCTCTCCCGTCCAAATAAAACCTGACTACTTTCTGGGAAATAATTATGATATGATGTGCATTTTTATTTCATCGATTAAAATTATATTTTAACTGTTAAATTATGAGACGTTTGATTCATAGATTATAATTATAATATTAAAATTATTTTTAATTTACGTATATTTTTTATGAAAGAAAATACTGTAACGAATTATGAACCATGATTCGAATCGGGATACGAATCTCCCAACCAAACAATTCCTTAATATTTTTATAGTTTGAATTAATATTTTTATAGCGCCTGATACTATTAATGCTCTAGATCAGACTAATAATTAAAATACAGTTCTCACAGATATAACAAAATAACTTTGAGTCCGTTTAGTTTGTTGATTTAAGTTTTTAATTTGAGTTAAAATGTGACATTATATGAGAGTTTTTTACTGTAATAAAAAAGTTAAATGTGACGGTTTTTGAGATTTTTTACTGTAGCAAAACTCAAAATTTAAATTTGAATCGGCAAAATGAACGAGACCTTTATTCTTTCCATAATTATGTGAAACGAAACCCCATTGTAGACCTTTCTTCTTAAATAATTTTTTTTCCTTTTTTTATTGAAGGTGGCGCCTATTCTTGATTATGTGTGATATAAACAGTATGGTTTTTCTTGCACCGAATATTTTTTAAACATTCTATTCCTGTAATTGGATCAAAGAATCTGGTTGTAATGGAAAGATTTTTATTTTCTAATTGGGTTAAAAATGGATTGATTCGCAATGAAAGCTTAGTCATATATTATTCTCACGGTTTTTTTATGGCTATTGTTTTTGAGAAATTTTCTAATACGCTTTGTGTACTAGTATGTTAAATTTTTTAACTGTTAAATCTGTATATTTTTTTATTTTTACGTGATTGTATACAAATTTGACAGATAAAAAACTCGATCTATTGGTACGTTAACATATAGGACAAAATCTCATTGTGCATGTTTGGAACTGTTTTTTAAAACAATTTTCACGTATTTTGAGAAACAAAAAATGAAAATGAAATGACATTTGTTTAGCGAATGTTTTAAAAATAAAACAATGAGAATGGTTTTTGTGAAATAATTCAAAAATATTTAAAAATTATTTTCACTTTTCTGTTTTTATTTTTTAGTACTTATCAATAATATTATAATATATTAATTAATAAACACAATTTTATTTTTTTATTATACTTAAAATAATCTCTTAAAAAATTAACCAAACGTAATTTTAAAATCGATCTCATAATAATTCTCAAAATAACCTTATTTTTACTTTTTATTAAAAATAAAATCATTTTAAAATTAATTTCAAACACACCTATTATTTTTTGGGCCTTCCATTTCTTTTGTTACCAAAATTATGATCGTTTTCGTGCTGATGTAAGGATATCATCATGCTGCCATAAGTAATCTTAATTTGTCTTTTTTTGAAGGACGTGTGACTTTAATTTGGAGAGATGCGTTTGAACTAATCTGTGCAATTTGGAGTTATTAGCAAAAATAATCTTTGCTATTTGGAGGAATTAGTGATTACTAATCTTTACAATTACGTGATGGAGGTAGATTATTATGCCACCGCGCCTTATTTGGAACAATTAATTGAATGTTATTGCTTATTATGGCCGTGGATACCACTTGATATCTGTGATCGTAATTTTGGAATGTTAATTCTCATCATCATTAAGGGAATAAAAAGCACATGGCAATTGGCAAGCAAAATGAATTGTTGAGATCACACGTTTTGAGACATTTTATTTAAGTTTTATCCCGTCTGTTTGATTGACTAGAGATGACCAAACTACAACATCTATTTGTTTGAGAGAAAAAGGAGTTACCAAAACCGAGTCTTATCAATTTAAGTTATTGAGATGGACTATTGCATAGATCATAACATGCATAATGTCCAAAAAGTGACAATAGCTTATATTGTATACTGTATACTCGTGTTTATCTCAAATCCTCAACCCAAACTACGGGGTTGTTTGGTTAGGGGATTCGTATCCCGATTCGAATTATAGTTCATAATTTACTACAGTATTTTTTCTCATAAAAAATACACATAAATTAAAAATTATTCTAATCTCATGATTATAATCTATGAACTAAACATCTCCCCCATCATCGCTGCACCCCTAAAGCAATTTGACAATAATTGTACTTGAAAGGTGAAACAATTATTATTGTTTAACACAAATAATTATCATGAAAGTTATTGTGCGACAATAAGTTTTCTTTTTTTCTTTTTTTTTTCTATGGGACATGACTCCTATATTTTTATCTCCAATCCCTTGAGTTATTCAAAATTCTTGAGACCTACTAATGAAAAAAATAGAAAAAATACCTTGTCAAATTATACTCAAACCCCGTTTTTAAGGACAAACACTTAGGCGACGTTTGATATGAGAGTTTTAAAACCGGAATCATAATTCTGGTTCAAACTAGTATTTGTTTACAAAAAGTAAAAAGTGGTTATAGTTTAACTCAACAAAATCAGTGTTTAGTTTGGATGGTTCTGATTTAAGGTTTGAACCCTGGTGTGACGTTTTAAACCAGAATCACCCGTGGTTCTAAAACCACCACTCCCTTGATTTTGGGTGATTCAAACCCTTGATTCTGATTATGGTTTCAGAATCACAATTTGGATTCAAAATCATGAATCATGATTATGATTTTAAAATTAAAATTAAAATCACCATAATTTAAACCCTCGTAGCAAACAAGTCTTCTTTCTTTAATGGGGCAACGATCAGATGAAATTGTTTGTCTCCTTACTGCTTACCTCCTAACCCACAGTTGTTTTGAAAGTAAACGCATTTTTGAAGGATTAATGGGTAAATTGCTTCTAGGGTTTATTATTATTATTTATTCAGATTTTCTCAATGGCCCGTGATCATTTACCGCACTTTCTGTTTAGAATTGGGAGAAAATAGTAGCAATAGCTAATGAAAAACGTGATCTTATAGGGAGTGTGAACTCATGGCTAACGTTATCTTTTCAATATTTAGAGCTTACTCTTTGTTTGCATTATGGTTGGGCCATAGCCTCTGCTAATATTTTAGCTACCTTTGCTTCATATAGAATCGTTTCGGTCCTTAATTTTATTCAGATCAGACTTCAAGATATTTATATAGATGAGGTTTTTCTGAAATAGTCCGAGCTATGAAGACCTTCCTTTCGTGTAACATTATTATAATAAATACAATACACAACATTGTTATTGTTTTAGATCAGTGTGAGGTGTGCTAACATAGCAAAGTGAGATCTAATGTCACAATTTGTCATTACTAGTACATTTGAGCTAACATAGGAATCATGTAAGATGGAATTATTTATTTTTGTTAAATTACAATTTTTATCGGCATAAAGTGACGTTTGTTTTAATAATTTTGTCTTATTTATAATCATGATTATTAGTTCTGCTATAGTGTTTTGAATTTTAAAAATTAAAATCATGAATTATAATTTTAAATTCATGAACCAAACGTCACATTAGGTTGTTTGGTTGGAGGATTCGTAGCCTGATTCGAATCATAGTTCGTGGTTTGCTACAGTGTTTTCTCTCACAAAAAATACACGTAAATCGAAAATGATTCTAATATCATGATTTTAATCCGTGAATCAAACGTAATAATTTGACCAAATTATAAACATGAATACACTATATCAATTTTTTTTTTAAATAAAGGCACTATTTTTAAACTTTTAAGTTGTGAACAATTCATTGTTAAATTATGGGTGTATTTATTTACACAATTTAAATCATGACTTAAATTATATATATTATATTATAATAAAAATATTAAATTTAAATTTATATAGGAAAAAATGTATCAATTACTACGATTAAAAAAACAAGGCCTGTATATCAATTAGGCAAGTGGCTAGAGCCCGCCAAATGCGAAAAAAGGCATATCCAGATGCTAGAGGTCCGTATTATTTTCAACAGAAACAAAACAAACAGCAAATTGTTCAAACCGGGATTTTTTGGTTTATCGAAGGTCGCCGATAAATAAACAAATGGTGAATATTTATTCAGCTCCTTATTCTTTTTTTTTTTTTTCTCTTTTAATCCGCGAAATGTCGGAAAAAAAAACGAAGAAGTGAATAGAGGTTTTTTTTTTTTTTTTGTTTTGCTTGACTATATGCGAACAAATTTGGACAAAAATGAAAAAAAAAAATCTCATACGAACACGAGAGAGGAAGAGGAAAATGCTCATAGCCATAGAAAATTTTAAAATATTATTTCTCCATCCAAGCGTCCACACAAATCTCCGCCTCAATCCTGATGAAACAAATCTTTACGACCAAAAAAAAAAAAAACAAAAACAAAAGCTTCTAAAATAACACTTTTCTCCAAACTAAAAAGCGACTAGATTCACAAAAACCAGAAGAAGAGAAGCGACGCTAAAACCAAAACTACTTCTGCTCCCAAACAACGAAACTCCGCCGTTTTTACCAGAATTGGTAGAATTACCAGTATCAGGAGCGGGAGAAGATGATGGAGAAGGAGAAGGAGAAGCAGTAGGAGCAGTACCAGCGGAATTGGAAACTAACTCCAATATCCCCTTGGCGGCGAGATTCTCCTGGTTGAAATCGTGCTTGATTAGAAAACCGGTCTGGTTGATCCCCGGACCGACCTGCCAGATGTGGTTCAGCGACTTCTTCTCCGGCACCTTCACGCTCGCGAAGATCGTGATCGATCCGTTGGAGTACTCGGTGCTATAGTCCCAAAACTCGAAGGAGAGATTCGACTGCACGACCGAATAGTACGAGCTGATGTTGTACGTCCTTGGGGTGATAGATCCGTTCGAATGCCTGACCGCGACGAAAGCTTGGGCTCCGGCCATGCCGGTCCCCGTCGGATTTATGGCCCAGGCCACCCAGCCGTCGGATTTCGCCGGCGGTGCGGTGAAAGCGACGGAAAGAGAAGAGTTGGAGGCGTTGTAGGTCCAGTGAAGGTATGAGGTGAGAACTTTGAGGTCGGAGCAGTTCGCGTAAAGCTTGTTGTTCGGGAACTTCTGCGATTTACAGGATTGCGATTGCGCGGGTGAGATTAGGAAAATCGAGAGCGAAATCGCTAAGAGCAACAATGGCGGAAACAAGGAAGCCATTGGAGAGGGAATCAAAGCTTGAACAACAAATAAAACAATTTATTTCAGCAGTTGCGAAAACAATGAGATGGCTTTTGTCCGCTTTAATGGGGGGGATATTATATAATGGGGGACAGCGAGCGAGAGAGTGGAATATGGACACTCTGTGAGACTACTCATACTGTAGTTCATGTGTGTCACGAATCATTAAGTGAAACGTGTACGTTCGTTTATTTTTACTACACGTGGCATTTATTGGTTGGGTATTCTCTTTTGTGGACTAAAATGTTTTTTAATCCAAAAATGATAGTTGACTATGAATTTATCGAGGGATGTGGAATGGTTCACGCGCATTAAATGAGTTTGAAAATGGAGAAGAAAATAATCAAAAACAACACGGTGAACATGTGGGAGATGCTTGTTGCTCGCACATTTTGCCGTTGAAAGGACAATAAAAGAAAATTAAGGGGTTATACTTTCATTAAATTTATTAATTATCATGTCTATTATTGTGTTAAATCCAATAATCTGCTAACTTAAAAGTGTATTCCTGCTTTTAAAGTTTATATGATCACATGTAAAGTCTTATTTGGTTTAGATATTGAATTTCAATTCTAACAGTGTTTTTTTTATTTTATAAAAATTTAAATTTAAAATATTTTATTATAATATTTTTCTCATAAAATTTGAATTCTGACTCAAACTATGACGAAGCAAACGCCCTTACCTCATGTGAATTAGGTGATCCTCCCTCATTTTTTTGGTTTGTGCTGGGACTTGGGAAGGTTGGGACGTTGGGACGTTGGGTATTGTCTAAAGTTCAAAATATATATTTTTTCAATCCTCTTGAAGTTGATATCTATCCGACTGCTACTTTTTAGTGCTTTTTAATTTGTGGAGCAATGAAATGAATGTTGGAGGAGACTTGGAATTGGATTCCTCTTCGTGGTGAATTTCTACCGGCTATCGCAATGGTATGAAAACAAATCAACGTTTATTTTGGTTTCAAGACTTCCCAGCGTTTTGGTGAAAAGGAAATCATCATGTCACTAAACACTCGGTCAAAGATTCGGTGCCCAAAAACGATCAGTCAGTCAAATTTGGAGGCAGTTCTCACTTCCCCCAAGTACGAAATCCTGTGTTACGACATGTATTTTTACTTTAAAACGAATTATGGATTATGGATTTATCTTTGCACTTCTCACTTCCCCCAAGTGTGAAATCCTGTGTTACGATCTGTATTTTTATTTTAAAGCAAATATGGATTTATCTTTTATAATTATTTATTTGAAGTAGTCAATAGTTTTTTATTTTTTTATTTTAATCAATAGTCAGTTGTAGGAGTCATGAGATTTATACGATATATTTAAGCATTATATTTATATTGAACATATTAGGTTGTATTGGGTAATTAGTGAAATTAAATGGACAGAGATCATTTGTCTAATTTGTAATATTCTAATTAGTATCTAATCAATTACATTATGACATGTCATTAAATGAATTTAAATGTTATATCATAAAAAGCCAATTAAAAAGCATTTTAAATCTTTTAAATGACGTGGTCACAAAGTGGCTTATTAAAAACTATTTTAGATATCGAAATTGAATTAGGTGACTTCTAAAAAAATAAAAATATTTTGGAGTAGGGATTTGAGTACGGATGTTAATCTCTCTATATAGATATATATATATATATATTATTTTTTTTAGGAAGTAATCTCTCTATTTAAGTCATTGAATGAAATCTTTAAAAAAAAAAAAAGTGAATGATTATTTCTAACATTTTTGTGTCTTAGGAGATTCAGTTCCCTCAAATGAACTTAATAATGGAGATCGAGAATCTCTCCAATGAGCCTATATCTATTCTTTATTTTCATTATTTACGGGTTGGTAATAGCTTGGTGAAATAAAATTTACTACTTTGGGCAATTGAAAACAGGGGCAGTTTCATTGTTTTGGTCAATGAAATTGTTTGTCATTCTCTTGAAAATTTTTCTCTAGACTTATTGCCTTATTGGTTTGTGCATGTTTTATTCTCCAAATTAAGCACCTAAACTTGTTTATATTTTCACCGGTGCCTCTTTTTCTTTTTTTTTTTTGTTCTTCTTCTTCACTCGAGTGGTCTACCATTTTCAATTGGCTCCCTATTCTAGGCGCACAAATTTGATACACGAAACCATTGACCCAAAATACGTGCGATTGCTAGAATATGTATTATATAAAATTGAATTTTTTTTTTTGCTGGTTATATAAAATTGATTTAAATTTGTTTCCAAATTCACGTTCAATGCCCGTCAAGAAAAGCAATGCAAAAAATAAATCCAAATCCAATGTAATCTCTAGAATTTTCTCTTATTTTATTTTATTTTATTTTACTTTCTTTGTTTTTTAAGGAACAGTTTCCTTCACATAATTTATTTTGTCCCGATTTAGTTCGTTGATTTAAATTTTATTGATTTGAATAGAAAAATTCAAACGGTATTATTTAAATTATAGTTTGAATGTGTAGTTAAAATTTTAATTTGAGCAAATAATAAAATTTAAATTTGTGTTTAGTATGTACAAAAAAAGAAATAATTAGCACTTTTTACTATTAAAAATAGTTTAAACCATTAAACTTGATAGATGAGCTAAAATTTAAATTGTGTCGTTTAATTCAATTTAAATGAGTAATATAATTTAAATTGTATACTTATTAAATATCAATTTATGTCTCGTTTACTTCACCGATTCGAGTTTGAAATTTAAGTTTTGTTACAGTAAAAAGCTCTCAGAAACAGTCACATCTAACTTTTTTGTTACAGTAAAAAATTCTCACATAAAGTTACATTTTAACTCGAATTTAAAATTTAAATCAGTAAACTAAACAAGTTATTAAATTATATTAATTATTTAAACCGACTTAAACTAAACTAAATTAGTAAAAAAAAAAAAAAAAAAAAAAGAGGCTCAGCTAACTTGTTATCTTTTCGTATAACTCGAGTACCTCAAAGTCAGTATCTTCCATCACGCGTCATTTCATTCACTCAAAATGTTCACATTGTGAATGTCAAGACAAAAAACAAGTCATTCATTTGTCCCTCTTGTGAATGTGATGTTCTTCCAAGTTTCAAATTCCACGATAATAATTAGGGATTGTCTCGGGACGACAGTCATATTTATATGATCATTTTTTTGACCTTTGCATTTAATTAAAATATACATAATATATAATTTTTGATATAAATTTAATTATTAAAAACGGTTGATAAAAATAAAACTATTAGTAGTTTAATTTTTTTAATTTTATAAGAGAAATTCTCTAGTAATTACATGCTTACATTACTTATTTCCTGAACTCTTGTCAACTTTAAAAGCTCCTTATTGCAAATATCTCTCCGATTTACTTTTAAAAAAATATATTTGTATTTATTCGTTTACGGCCAATTAATCAAACCATATAGAATATAGATGATCACAGGCTCATAGCCATCGAAACAGAGGAGTTTACCGATATAATGTGTGAATTTATAAAGCTATGACTTCCCTACTACCGAATACTGCTCGCTGGCCAAATAATCCATGTACATGCACGATTAGAATACTTGGGAAAGTCAACAATATGCTGGAAATTGCAAGTATAAACCTATTAAGCAAGCAATAATAATGTCGAATTGGAGTACGGACAATAATTGAGTTGGGATTTTAATCATGTTGTGTGTTTTTCTAACTCATGATGTTTCTCCTATTGCACTAAAAATGTCCAAAATTCGGCTACGAAATAAGTCGTTGTTTCCTCAAATTGAACCACATTAATGGTTGTATAGTTGTACTAATTTAATTTAACGTGTTAATTATGAGCCTATAAATTGTTTACAATATTCTATGGTAGTATGGCATGTTTACTTACTAGGAGTAGATAATGAGAATTGAGATTTAGAATCAACTATATGTTTACTTACCCATTTATATCCTGAAATGAGAGTGAGAATATGTGAGTTCCACACCAATTTGAAGTTGACGAATGGGATTGGCACTCCTCCCACCTCCCACCAGATTGCCACTCCCAATCCTGATATTAAATGCAAAATTACGAGTTTACTCTTAATTTTTCTTCTTTTATTTAACTCTCTAGGGTTTATTTCTCCATTTCTCTCTTAGCCATTTACCACCTCCTCTTCCCCTTTTCTGCCGGTTCTTCAATTTGTAGGTAGGCCATAAATCATCCTTTATTTTTTTTTTTTGTGTTTTGCTTTTTTTTTTTTTCGTTGATAATGCTTTAGTTTAGCTAGTTTTGTTGTCAAGGTTTTGCTGTTCCTTTCCATGTGTGGGTGTGTGTGTCGTCTTCTAGCTTTTCAGTTTTTTTTCCTTATTTTAATTTAATTTTGTATCTCTCTTTATTTCTTTAAACTCTTATATCTGTTTTATTTTAGGAATTTCTACTGTAAGATTAGAAAACTGAAACTATCAATAATTTTTATCCCCCTTTATTTCTCGTGATTCTAGTACTCTAGTTTTTTTTTTTCTTTTTTTCTTATAATTTGATTCTTGTGTTATGCCAATTGTTGTTCATTTTTATAATATACAATGTAATACTAACCCTAATTTTATATGTTGATAATGTAGAGTAATTATGTCTAGATTTTTAGTACGAAAGAAGATAGTGGTTGTAGTGATAAAAGAGATAGTTATGATGTTACAAATGATTATGGTTGTGTGTGCTGCTATGTGTACCTATGTTTCTATTTATTATGAATGAAGGATACGAAGTCCAAAGATGGTTATAAGGGTTTATCAACAATTAGGTCACTTGTATGATTTGATTTACGAGAGTGATATCAAGTGTGTGGCACAATTAAGAATGGATAGAGAAACGTTTAAAAGATTATGCAAGCTTCTATGTGAGAAAGGAGATTATACAATGGTTGTTACTTGGTTATTATTTAGCGAATTAACAAATGTTATTTAACTTGTTTAACATAAGCGAAAAGATGCTGCTAGTTTATATGGAAAACCTTTTCCTCATTATTACACTTTGGGTGAAATTTATGGACGTGATCGAGCTACAGGCATTGGTGCTGAAAATGCAGATGATGATGAGGAAGAGGTCCGCCAACAAGATACCATGAATGTAAATGTAGGTGTCGACTCAAATATGAATGCCTTTGAAGAGAATTTCATGGAAAATGATATGTACTACAATCAGCAACCAAGTGTTCAACAGGGCCAACCATCTGAAAGCTCTCCAAGCGTTTTCACTCGCAAGACAAATACCAAAGGTAAAAACAAAGACAAGATATTTGAGAATATGTGCTCCAACATTGGGTCGATGGCTAAATATGTGGCATCAATGGTACTCAAATTAGATGGTCTCGTTGGTGTGCTTTCCATTGCTTACAATGATTTAGCTGGATTACAAGCCAACTTGTATCAAGAAATGCTGAAAATTGATGGCTTAGATGATGATCAAGTATATGATGCCACCAATATTTTAGCAACAAAGCATGATTTGCTACGTGTATTCTACAACATTCTGGATCAACTTAAGAAGGGATACATCCTCAAAATTCTTAGTCGTGGGATTTAAGTGTTATATTTGTCAATTATTAGTTTACTTAAATTATGTTGGTACTTTGAATTATGCTTAGGATATATTTTTCGATTTATGACTTGGAACTTCTTTTTGAAAGTTTATGACTTAAAGTTTAGTTATTTTGTTCTTATTTTATTTCATCATCATATTCTTTTCTTGAAATTGAGTTAAAATTTATTGAGAAAAATAACTTAGATGATTAATTAGGTGTGATAAAAAAATCTAATTACTAGTTAGTTATTCTAATATTAAGATAGTTAGCATAATATACAATTTTTTTTTTTAAAGTTCAACACACAAAAATCTACTAAAAGAGTAGGTAAGTAAATTTATAACAGTTTATTCCGATATGAGTATAAGTAAATGCATGAATAGGATTGGGATTGATTTCGATTCTGATTCTTGGAACATAAATAAATAATTTATTTTGACTTTAATTTCTAACTCTGATTAATGTTCACTCCGATTACCGATAAGTAAACATGTCGTCTTTTTGTTTATGGTTCTGCCAAAACATGATCAAGTGATTTTGTCCGCCATGTGCCAATAATGCCTAACGGAGAAAAGTTGATTAGCATGGATTTAGACCCCAATAATTGCTTATGCGAATTCTGCTAATTTCTTTTGATTGAGGGAACTCATGGCAAATTAATAAATCAGGACTAAACATCATGTTTTGCTCTAATTAAATAGTATGGTTAATTAATAATTGCACTTGTGTCGTGGGCACTAGTTGTAACAAACACGAGTTGTCCATGTGCTAAGAAAATTGATATTCAAATACTAACCGAGGGTCAGAGAGGGTAAGGATTTGGAAAAATGTGAAGTATTTCAATTATGGGGGGGGAGAGAGAGAGAGATTTAGAGAGAGAGAGAGAGAGAGAAGAATTCCATTAGTTATAGGAAAAAGAGGAATTATATTACAAATTATAAAAAGGATGAGTTAAAAGGTTGGCCACTTTTGGAGATATATTTTTTTTTAAATGGTCAAATTGTTTTAAGCTAAAAAACTGGCCTTTTTGGTAAATATCATATTTCTTTAGTCGGTAAACCTCATATTTCTGAATACATTTTTTATTTACAAATAAACATCATTTTTTTGAGTGAAAAAATTATCATTTTTACTCAATATAATAGATATTAGGCTAATCTCATTTTCATTAAATAAATATTTTCATTTTTATTATCAATAAATTCGACTATATATCAAACTAAAAGAACATAAAACGATTATCGAGCAGGGCCTTAATATTCTACTAAGTAGGCTTCAGTAGTCCTATAACCGATGGTGAACTTGGGTTAGTTGGGCCCAATAAGGTTGTACTTATCCCTCTGTTAACGTTCAACTTCAACTCCAATTGGATCTTTGAGTCTGGGCTTCGTTATCTAGGCCCAACATAGAACCACTCCACGATATCATACGGTGAGGTGGCGGGGCAGTCGATAATACCTCCGTTGCATATATACTCGCTTGAAACCCTAGCTAACTCTTCATCTCCCGCTCGCTCTCTCACTAGGGTTCACGAAACTGCGCTGCGTTACGGACAGGTTCGACACTTTACTCTCCATGGCTCTCTACGCATTTCTAATTTCTCCGAATTAGGGTTAGGGTTTCTATTGCACATAACTGGTTGTTTCGCTTTCAGCAAAATCGCTTATTCTTTGCTTCGTTCATCGTGATATTGCATTTCCAATTGTTCGTCAGTACTGTTGTAAATCTGTGCCAAATATCGAAGTTTTCCATGCCTTTCTTTGTCGGAATGGAAAATTGTTCAGATGAATTTGTTGTTTCTCAGTCATTGTGTGCATTAGAGTTTTCAATCTGAAAATTCATTTATATGAAGATTTTTTGGCCTTGCATACTCATTTCCCATGGTTGGTGAAATTTTCAACTGGGATAGATTTGTTTGTTTATTATCTGGAAGAGAGATCTATGCTTAATTTATTTAATTAATGAATTATTGGATCTATGTGGTTATGGATTATTTTGTGTAGGGCTCTAGCGTTAGCAAGTGGCTGTATTGTTGTGCATTCATGGGTTCATTTGTAAAAACGCTTATTTTGTGATTGTTTTTTTCCCCCAATATGAGCACAAAGCTGAATAAATGTGGTCCGCTGACTTGTAAAGATTAAATCCTTTTCAATTACTGGTTGCAGAAAAAATGGCTGTCCCTTTGCTCACCAAGAAGATTGTGAAGAAGCGTGTCAAGAAGTTCATCAGGCCCCAGAGTGACAGAAAGATTTCTGTCAAGGTATGCGTCTCCATAAGTTCTTTAATCTATTCTCATTGGACATCAAGATTGCTAATGTGAGTTGGTAGGAGGAATCCTGTATGCAGTGTAGCCCATCAAGATTTTCTGTTTTTCAAGAAAGGAATCACTTGCTTAGAAATACTTCCCAAATGTCAATGTTTACTTTATATATCAGTTGTTCAAACGGCTGTTCCTTTCTACTAAGGCTAGTTAATGACCTTTAATCCACACTTTTTTTTAATGAAACTTCCTCAAATAGAGGAGAATATTATTAAAGAAAGAAACTAATACAAAACAGAAACTCAGTCAAGAGAATCTGTAAAAAGGTAACTCCAAAACATCCCTATACACCAAAAATCAAAAGAATCGGGACAAGAGGTTCACCACATCCTATTCCTATTCATCACCCCAAGATTGGCCAATTTGTGAGCACAACGATTAGCTTCCCTAAAATTCATCATATTACCTATATTCATGACCTTTAATCCACACTAAAGCCCCTAATATTTCGAGAGGTCAAAAGTAGCTTCATATTTGTTCAAAAATTGTTTGGACCTCATATGTCATAAATTATTATAATTATGATCTTAGACTTCCATTTGTCTACTGAAATGGAAGTAACTCATAGCGAGGAAGTAAACCTTGTCTTAGCTATCAGATACAATTTTGGATGCTTTCCATGGTTAACATTCTTGCCTTTCCATTTCACTATTTTTTCTTCTTTGTTGCCATTTATGAGTCTATGTATACGCTAAACGCTGCTCTCTTTTTTTTTTTTTTTTGGATGCAGCCTAGCTGGAGAAGGCCCAAGGGTATTGATTCCCGTGTGAGGAGAAAGTTCAAAGGATGTACTTTGATGCCCAACATTGGTTATGGCTCAGACAAGAAGACTCGCCACTACCTCCCCAATGGGTTTAAGAAGTTTGTTGTGCACAACGTCAAGGAGCTTGAAGTTCTGATGATGCACAACAGGTAAATATTCCCATATCAACTATAATATGTGCGACGTTTCTTTTCTGTCTGCGATTATTTGTAAATTTCACCAATCCACTTTCGTTCTTACTTTATTTCAGGACTTACTGTGCTGAGATAGCTCACAATGTTTCAACCAAGAAGCGAAAGGAGATCGTCGAGCGAGCTGCGCAGTTGGATATTGTTGTTACCAACAAACTGGCCAGGTTGCGTAGCCAGGAGGATGAGTGAGCATTTATGCTAATTTTTCTTTTTGTTTGTTTGCTTTGTGAGTCACTCCTATTATTAGGCGTTTCAGCATTTTGGGAGACACTTTATTCCATAGTTTTCATTTTGTTTTGAATTAAGTGGTGACTTCTGTACTGCTCAATTATCGTTAAAAGTAATTTTTGATATTTCAATCACTCGAACAAGAGATTGCTAGTTAAAACCTTGCACTTGAGGGACCCACAGCTGAAATGGGCGACATATTTGGTGAGCCGTTCAGAAAACAAATTAGTAACTGATTTGAAATGGTTCTTCTGTTTGATCACTCTCCTCATTGAGGAAAGTAATTTTAATTCCTGGTTTGTGGTAAGGTTTTGACATTGCTCGTTCTTGGCTTAAAAGTCTTCGGTTATTGGTTTATTTATGGAGAAGGCTCTACCTGCCAATTGCCGTGCGAGACCCATTTTTTAATTAGCTTTTAAAAAAAAAAAATTTAATTAATGGCCAAAAAGTCTTGCAATGGGCATAATTATCTTGTTCGGTTTCAGTTTAACTTGCGTAATGTAATTTGAACCTAACTAGAATTTTATTTATAATGTTACCTGAGTTTGTGTACGGTAATAAATATTATTATGTATTCCCTGATAAGTGTACAATACATGCATATAATAATGGGAAAAGTGCAAACGATCCTTTGAAAATAGCTTTAATCATAACCGGTTTTTAACAGAATGGTTCCACTTAAACAAATTTAAGGAAAAAAGGGGCAATACTGAATATTGGAGACATTGATTTTATATTAAAAAGATTTGTATAAATTAATATGTGGTTTGAAGTAACCATTCTTATTTTTCTCTATTAGCGTTGTGTAATGTGGCATGCAGATGGTTATTTTAGTCCCGTTCACTTCGTTGATTCGAGTTTAGAATTTGAGTTGAGATGTGATTTTATGTGAGAGTTTTTTATTGTAATAAAAAAGTTAGATGTGATTGTTTTTATGAGAGTTTTTTACTGTAGAAAAACTCGAATTCTAAACTCGAATCAGCGAAGTGAACGGACCCTTTGAAACTTAACCAGGAAATTATAAAAGGTTTGTTTTAAAGTATGGCAACGTTAGATCCAATTATTTTGTTATTGAGAAGAAAAACAAAAACTAGGAATTGTCTTTTTTATACTTGCAAACTTAAAAGTTAGTCTTGTCCATCGTCGGGGCAAACTAATTGGGTGCGTTTATAACTCGTTTCAAAATGATTTTATTTTTTTGTATGAAAATAAAAATGAAAACGTTTTCAATCTCAGATAAAAATTATTTTTAAAAATGTGTTTGGTAGTTTTATCAAGAGATTGTTTTCAGTATAAAAAAATTCATTAATATCTCTCTCCCTCTCTCTCTGCTTGAGAGCGGAGAAAACGAAAACAAAAAATGAAAAATGAATAAAATTTGTTTTTAATTTCTTTATCATTTTATACTAAATTAAAAAATTATTTTTATTTTTTTTTGTCTTTATTACGTCAAACGCCATTTTAAATACGTTTTCATTTTTTCTTTTTCTTTCTCAAAAAACGTAAAAAAAAAACGGAATCAATTTTAAACACAGCCGTTATGGTCGAGATAGAGATTTTGTTATCTCATTATATTGCAAAACCGGAGCTTGTGAAACTTCAACATATGATAAATGCATCATAACACTTTTTAAAGGGCATTATATTATAATATAAAAGTAAACTATCTAATTGCGTAAATGAGTGTAGTTTGAAAATATTAAGAATAATTTGAATTCAAGTATTAATTTATACAATTACAGCAACATTGAAAATAAAAACCAGTGAATCTTATCGTGCAAAAGAACAACTTTTATTCATCACAAGTGGAGTTGGTTTTAGTCCAATATGACAGTCGGGAACCAAGAGTAGTGGAAAACGATTTTAATTTCCTTAACGCAAGAAGTAGTCTCTACTATTTCTCCACAAAGGAAGACGTACTTGTGGTGGCTACTGACTACTGTGGATGGTGCTGGACCACACAACTTTATAAGGAGAATTGTTTTTGGTTGGTCTAATGATGAGAGAATCGACCACTCCTCGTGTAGTTGTTATCTGTAAAATCAAGTTATTGGGTTTGAATTTCATTTAGGGAGATTTTTATGGTATAGTATGAAAAATAATTATCTTATGGGATACAATTATAAACCGTCATATCAATCTTTATTGAATTATATTAAATTGTCATATTTTTTTGATGTGATTATGTGCTTTACGGGTAGCGTATAATTTTACTGTCATTTATTTATATCTTTCTCTTTCATATTTTCTCCTAATCTCTCCAACAAAACTGAGCAAACATGCGGTGTCGTGCAGGGCTGATAATATGGGTCACGACACGAATTTTGCAGGTTAAGGTTGAGAAAAAAGAAGTTCGGGTTAGAATTGGGTCGACTTGAAATTGACACAAAAAATACGAGTCAATTTCGGGTTGGACATGCCTAACCCGAACACGACACGAAACTCGTAAAAAACTAAAAAATACATATATTTTTCATTACATATTTTAAATTTTATTATGAACTTGTGATATTATAATAGTTATACTCAAAATCTTAATACTATTATTTACTTAATTTCAATAGATGTTATTGTAATTTAGTGTGTTATGAATTTTAAGTTATTTCTAATATGTAAAAAACTAAATAAAAGTATACAATTTTCGTGTCAATTGCAGATTCATGGGTCAATTTCGTGTCATGAGTCAATTTCGGGTTGTGTCGTGTCAATTCGTAAAGTGGTCGTGTCGTGTCGTGTTCGTGTTGCGGTTTTTAAAAAATTTTGTGTCACGGGTCGTGTTCAAATTGACTGTAAATTTTTAAAAAAATGATCAAAATACGACACGAACATGACACGTAACACGAATTACCACCCCTAACATCGTGTTTGCGTTGTTTTTTCTGTTGAGTAGCTTGCTGTGGGGCACTAATCGTATGACATGAGAAGCTAAAAGCGTGTCCCTTCATTATCAATAAAAAAGCAATTACCCACATATGTTCCCATGGGGAGTCTTTTTCAACCCTATTGATGTCTTTTGAAATGGCCATAAATCCTTTCTCTTCCTTCCTTATTAATTAAGTTAAAGCTTACATGCCTTACGGTCCTGGCTGTAATACTGAGGAATAAATATACTTCAGTAATTACACTCATGACTCAACTATAAAAAAAAAAAAAAACATAAAAAAATCATATGGAATAGTCAAAACACTAGCTAATACAAATACACTGGTGATAATCACCAATGGGTGTGCAGCAATTAGAATGATGGACACTCTTAACGCCCCACTTTAAAGCTCGCATCTGGTTTATAGACCGTGCGGCATTGAACCTGTTGTGGTGTGAACTGAAATTGATCAAATCTTTTTTGTACTAATAGGGGTATTTGACTTTTTGCTATAGATGAAGAGAACAAAAGACGGGATGATTGTGTAAAAAAAAAAAAAAAAAACTTTAGATTGTAATAGTGACTCGGAGCAATTACTAGCACGAAATGTTGGTTGCAAAAGTGGGTCCTCTCAAGCAAACGACCTTTTGCAGTCCGTCCGCAAGACCCATGAGGGTCCCATGTGCCCATATCGTCCATTCAACAAGAATTATAGCTTGATGTCACTCCCACGACTAATTAGTTTTTCACTGTAGAGCCATAACTTTTGCACTTTAAAACGCGATCATAAGTGATTTGAATTGAGATATAACTGTATGTGAGAATTTTTTATTGTAGTAAAAAATTTAAACATGACTGTTTTTAAAATTTTTTTACTATAACAAAACTTAAATTTTAAACTAAAATCAGTGAAATGAATATGACTTAAACCCGCGTTGATTAGTTACAACAAAACAACTCTTTGTTGATGACTCTTATGACAAGTTTGGAAATATGTTGTACAGATGCTAAGAACTTATTGTCGACCGCAAACAATTGATAAAGATTATTATTTTTTAATGGTCCAATTAATTGCGTTACTGTCTCTTTATTTTCAATCCAAGTTTCATAGACCCAGCGAAAAGAGAGCTAAAGATGAGTGAAAAGTTCAAAGCCAATATGATGGTTTTTCAATTGATTTATTTGAGGTATTGCACTGATTGGGACAGGGAGAAGACATGTAAATGGAACAGATATCTTGCATCTAAACAACTCATTGTTATATTCTCTTCAAGCCAAAAACAAAATAAAACAAAAAAAAAAACACAAAAACAAAACAAAACAAATGTTGACGATATGCAACATGCTTGTTTAGTTCGCTGATTCGACTTTTAATTCGAGTTGAGATATGACTTTATTTGAGAGCTTTTTACTGTAGTAAAAAAGTTAAATAAGACTGTTTTTAGAGCATTTTACTGTAACAAAACTCGAATTTTAAATTTAAATGGGTGAAATGAACGTGGTCTCATCTCTATGTCTATTTTCCCTCTTCTTATATCTGTCTATTTTCTATTCTCTCCCAAAATTTCTTCACCCTTTTTTCTTTTTTTTTTTTGTTGTTTATTAATTTTCCTCCCACTTTTCATCCCTACCAAACGTAGTGCAGTTTATGATCATATGACAACAATTCCCATCTTTTACACCTTAGTCTAACTAGTTATGCACATGAGCAACGTGACGCCAAAAAAGTATGGGCAACAAGAAAACGTCAAAGCCAATTTCCATAGTGAGACTTTTTCCAAGTCTTGGAAGTTCCTCTTGAGATGCCGTAATTTAACCAACTGACCATATTCATCTCATACAAATAAACTAGTTTGACATATACACACATATTTGTGCGTGTGTACGTATGAATGTATATGAAATTGGTTTATTTATATGAGATGAATGGTCAATGGAGTAAATGAACAACCGTTAACTCACAACAGCAGCCTGAATATGTCCTCAATGGCGTGTTTCTTGTGAGGGAAAATGGTCTACACATAGATCTTTCTCACAGTTAAAAGTTTTCCCCATCAGAAAGCCCGTATTCACGAGAAAAGGGCACAATCATGCAACCTATACAACGAAGTAGTACTTCCACCAAAAGACTATATATAACGACCCTTGTTTATGAATTATGCAGATCTATTACGTACAGTTGTTCTTATATTGGTTGATATCAGGCTTATCAGATATCAGATGACCATGGAATATCACCTAGTTAGGTATTCCTTCAATCGTCGGTGAAAAAATTGACTAAAGTATGCCTATCAATAGGTGGGGGAAGAAAGTAGTGGTCCATGTTAGTAAAAAAATTTAGGCTTCATAATTCAATTAATTTGGGGCTACCAGCTGCAATTATTTGATAATATTCTTTGCAGTAGTAGAATCATGTGCGGAGTTTGTTATCCATTTATTATGGGTTCGAAGAAATCAATTTGACGAGTTGTGTACATATCAATCACCATTCGCCAAGCTCATGTTAGCAATCACCATGATAAGATCGCCTTTAATTCTTTCAATAACATTCACTTCTTGCATGTCCTTTTTTTTTAGTGAGTGAGTCAAGAGAAGTGATATTGCTTCCAAATTTTCTAGCCAAAAAATTGTTTCACATCACAAAAAGAAAATGATCAAACCTCTGAAGAAACAACGGGTGTGTATCTATAAGAATGTATTTCCTTTTTCTTCTTTTAAAATGTGTTCATACTCAATAATCTCAAATATAATAAGTCTTGTAAGTTTCAAAAAAAAAAAAAAAAAAAAAGGTCTTGTTAAGAATAAACTGTGAGGTATCAAAGCTGCGAAATTATTTTTGGAGTCGAATTGAATTAGACCCTTCCCTTTTCGTTTTATTGATGGCTCTAAAATTTCTTCTATACACAATGATGATCCCTTTATTATTCAGGGAAAAAAAAGGATAACAATAAAAGAATTACGATAATGAATTTGAAAGAAAAAAAAGTATATTAACTACATAATCAAGTCGTAATATTATGCCTATAGATTAGGCTATAATGCTACATCTTCCGATCATAGTCTGTGTCGTATATACTCTTATGTATATTTGACCCCAAAAAACAATAGCTAAGGTCACTATAAACGTTACATATGCTTACTTTAGAACGAAAGAGAAATAAATAAAGAATATTGAAGAGTTAAAATACGAGAAAATTATCTACTTGAGTGGGATGGTGATTTGGTACGCTTCCTACCCAGTCCTTGGTATTCACAGTTTCCGCATGATCACCGTTGATACCACGCTGATCAGTTTTCTGCTTGTCACCTTCAACACAATCACCGCCAACACCGAATATTCCTTGGACAACGGAAACAACGTCAATGCCCCTTATTCCTTCTTTGTCCTCATCAACATTTTCCGGAATATACGGTGGTCTCGGGATCTGCATCACCGAATCCCAGTCCATTCCTCTGAAGAAATCGTGGCCTTTGATCTCCTCCACACCGATCCTCTGCTTTGGATCCTTCTCCAGAAGCTTCCTGATCAAGTCTCTCAAAGGCGTCGGCTCCCCTATCAACTCCGGCGACTTCGTCACTATCCTGTAGAACGTTTCTTTCCGGTTGGAGCCGCGAAACGGCGTCTCGCCGTACAGCATTTCGTAGAGCATTACGCCGAGGGACCACCAGTCGACGGCGAAGTCGTGGCCGTTTCCGGAGACGATCTCCGGCGCCACGTACTCCTCGGTTCCGACGAACGAGTTCGACTTCTCGGACGAGTACAACTCGGTCCGCGCTGAGTTATCGCTGAGTCCGTTCTGGGAGGCCGAGTCCTCCGGCGTGATCCCCGAGTTGCAGAATCTGTGGAACGGTGAGAGTCGTTTCTTTCGCGCGGAATCAGACTCCGTGTCCGAGAAGTTGGATGTTCTTGAAGATTGAGGACTTTTGGGAGAGAGTTTTGTAGAGAGATCGAAATCGACGAGCATAATGTGACCGTTTTCTTGAACCATGACGTTCTCTGGCTTCAAATCTCTGTACACAATCCCTATTCCGTGCAAATATTCCAGCGCGAGAACCAATTCTGCGGCGTAAAACCTTCAAGAATCAACACAAAATACAAATTGATCAACCATAACTGAATTTCACAGCAAGAATTTTCTTGCGCTTCGTTGCTTAAACAACAAACATAACAGAGCTGCATGAAAGACAAATCAGATCTCTATTTACCTGATTACATCGTCGGAGAACATTCTCTCTGTCTGTCTCTTCCTGTGAACGTTGAGATCGCGGCCGGGGCAGTAATCAATTGCGTATCCAACCAGCTTCTCGGTATCCAAAATACCGCGCAATCGCGGCAAAAGCGGGTGGCGAAGAAGGCCGAGAACTCCTTGCTCGAAGCAGACTCTCTTGTACTCATTTCCGTCGCTGTTGACGGACTTTCCTTTCTTCTCGATCAATTCCTTGGAGATCACTTTCAGAGCGAGAAGCGCATCGCGATCTTCATCCTTGACGAGGAACACCACGCCCTTGGCTCCGCGGCCGAGCGCCGACACCACCTTCAGTCGCTCGAAGCTCAAGGCCGGGATCTGATGGCGGTCCTCTTCATCGTTCATGGCCGCGGGAAATGACCGCTCACCGGAGGAAAACCGTCTTGTTACAGGTGGATCCAAGAATTTTGTGAGAGATGTTTTTGCAGTAACCGGAATTTTTCTTCCTATTTCTTCCCCTTTTTTATTTTTTGCGCGTTCAGTGGGCGGGCGATGAGAGGTTTCAGTGTGTGTATATATATATAAGTGCCGTTTCGGAGTCTTGGAGAGGAAGGATTCAAAGTTCAAAGAAGAAAGGCGGAACGGCGGGCTGGGATAGGATGGAACTTTCTGCGTTGTTACCTGGTTGAGATGGTGAAGTGAGATTTTGACACGTATGATCTTGAAAATCTGATTTCGTCACGTGGTGAGATCTGGGATGTTTATGACTTTGTTAGATGGTAATTTCTCAGGTGAGGAATATGTGGAGGTGCCCATAATGGGAATGGGAATGGGAATTGTGAATTATAGTCATAAATAAATCATGAAATGATTGCGACTATATGAGTTCTTTTTTTTAATCAAAAAAATATTGTTTTTTTTAACCAAAATAAAACAAAAAAAGGAATGGAAAAATGGGGTGGGTAGTTGTGAACTTGTGATCTTACGGTCGTGTCCAAAACTTGTGATTTTGCAGGGGAAAAAAAAGAAAAAAGAAACTTTTGGGATTACTTGAGACTTGGGATTCGGGTGAGGCCTTCTTCTAGAAACCGTGCGGAGCAGGCAAGGGAAGGGAATGTTCAATTTAAGCATGGGCTGTATAAGCAAAAACAAATGCCAAACGTGATATGGGGCGGTGGACTTTGTTCGTGTTGCATGTCTTCCGTCACCAAAAGTTAGGAACACCAGTTATTTCTAGTATAAATAAATAAATAATTAGCACTTGTGCTTTCATAAATAGGATATTTTCCCAAGATCTACTTATCGATTCTCACGTTAAATTTAATTAATATCATATTAAATTAAAAAAATATACAGAATAAATAATTTTTAATATAAATCTAACGATTAAAAAATAAAAAATTATTGATATATTTATTTTTTTTTATCCTATTAAAAAAACTTCCTTATAAAAAATCTTGACGTGATTTTAGACTTTTATTCTTAAAGTATTTAGCTCTTAAATTTATAAACAACAACAATTATTCTAATAGTTAATGAAATTTAAATTCTTAAGCACAATAATAAACAACTCCTTGTAGTTTGGTACTTCTCTAATTCTTTTTTTTGTTTTTTGAATTTAACCAATGTATTCGGTGACCAAATCCAGCAATCTACTATTTAAGTAGGGAACGCGATAATTTTTTAACAATATATATAGAAACAAAAAATAAAAATATGTAAAGTTCAATGGAAGTGTACATACAAAAACTGAATATAGCGGAATTTTAAGTTTGATAAATAAGTAAAATAATGAATATTGGGTGGCATTTCCGGAAACATTAAACGCGCGATAAATTTAAAAGTTTTCCTGAGCTTAATCTCTTTTTAGTCTAAATTTGCCTAAGTCTAAGTTCGTTGGAGCCCAAATTCCCCTAAATCTAAGTTCGCCAGAGCCCAAACTCTGAGCCCACGCTCACCTGAGCCAAAATTTGCCTAAGCCTAAGTTCACCGGAGCTCAAGCTCGCCTGAGGCCAATCTCATCTGAAGTCAATCTTTCTCGAGCCTAAGCTTGCCGGAGGCCATTCTCTCCCGAGCCCAAGCTCAATAGAGCCCAGGCTCGTCTAAGCCCAAATTCTCCTGAGCCGAAAGTTCAAAGATCGTGTGATATTATCAAGTGAAATAACTAACGTTAATTAAAGATATTGAATAATTAAAAATTAATTCTCATTAATTATTTATCAGTTTTAATTCACAAAAATGTGAATAGCCTTATTGTAATTAAGAGAGAAAAAATTCTCAAATTAATAGGAGAATTAATCTCCTTCAATCCTAATGTATTATAAATTTCCTCAATTTGAGAGGAAACGGACACACACTCATTTCTGAATACTATTGGCTAGTGATTGTCTTCATTTTATTTTTATAAAGGTTATTAAGTTGATCCTAATGTATTATAAATTCTCTCAATTTGAGAAGAAAAGAGACACACACTCATTTCTGAATATAATTACCTAGTGATTGTCTTCATTTTGTTTTTGTAAAGGTTATTAAGTTAATTCTCTTTAAAAATATATTTCAAATATTATTGCAATTATTTCAAAATATTTGTTACAATAGGATATTTTCAGAAGACAATTTCTTTTTCATATGTACTTAAAGACTAAACTTTTAAGTATATTTTGGCGATTCATTTAATTAGCATAAAATTTGTAGTTTTCCTTTTATCTCATGTTAAGTTTGGCATCATAATTAGTTATACATGTTTTATTCCTTCTATGTTTGATGGAATGAAAAAAAGGGAGAGAATTAATTGGAGGACAAATTAAAAGAACAATGGAGACTTTTTTTTTTAATCTCATGTTAAGTTAGGCATTATAATTAGTTATACACGTTTTTATTCCCTATATATTTGATAGAGGAGATCTTTTTCGGTACACTAACATATCAGTATGTTAAGTTTTATGTCCGTTAGATCTGCATAAAATTACATAAAAGTCAAAAAATACACAGATTTAACGGTTAGAAAAATCTAACCTATCAGTACGCTAGACGTACTAGAGAATCTTCTTTGATAGAGTGGAAAAAATAGGCGAAAAGATATTGGATGATAAGTTTTAGAATAAAGAAGGAGTATTATGGACTTTTTTAAAAGTAAATAATATATTCGAATTGGTTCATAAATGTTACTTTTAACTTTTATATCTTTCAAAGCATTGAAAAAAAAAAAAAAAAAAACTTCAAAGAACTTATGTTTGATAAGTCCATCAATGTCTTAATTCTATTCTTTGTACTTAGAAACTACAAATCCATCTTCAGATTAATTGATTTTTCATTGTTACTTTCATGACTCATTAAATGTGACCAACAATGAGAGAAACTTTTAAATCTCATTATAATTATATCCTATAAGATCCTGTGATTGTTATCCACCAGTAATTTTATATTTAATTTTACCTGAATATATAATTTACTTCTACTATAAATATCAATCTCATGCACCTGGATACATAATTTATTTTGAAGTACATAATGATTTCTCATGAATGGAACGTTTTTTTTTCTTCTGTTTTAAACATGATAATACCCATATAACTAGTAGCAATTAAAAAAAATCAACGGAAGTCACTTTCTTATAGGTGGGTTAATTTGTATGTAGACATATTTTACAAAACACAAAAAAAAAAAAAAATGAAAAATGAAAAAAATGTGCTTAGAAAACTAATGCATCCTTGTCCGCATTATTCATCATTCTTTTTAAACGCTTTAAGAACAATATAAGGGATCAAAAAAGCATTAAAAAAAGAGAAAGAAAAAAAAAACTTTCAAAGAGCTTATTTTGCTTTAGGAACAATATAAGGGATCTAAAAGCATTGAAAAGAAAAAAGAAAAAAAAAACTTTCGAAGAATTAAAGAGAAAAAACATAAAAAACAGGAAACCAAAAACGACAAACATAAAGTGCGTGTTAGTAACCGTTTTTAAAAATGGTTTTCACGTATTTTAAAAAGTAAAAATAAAAAACGAAAATGAAACGACGTTTGTTTAGTAAATATTTTATAAATAAAAATGAAAACAAAAACAGTGAGAATGATTTTTATAAATGAATTAGAAAACAGTTAAAAGTTGTTTTCACTTTTCTGTTTTTATTTTTTAATACTTATTAATAATATTATAATATATTAATTAATAAATACGATTTTACTTTTTTATTATATTCAAAATAATCTCTTAAAAAACTAATAAAACGTAATTTTAAAATTAATTTTCAAAATAATTTTATTTTCTTTTTATTAAAAATAAAATTATTTTAAAATTAATTCTAAACGCACAAAAAAAAACCCTTAGAAATGAATGTTATTGTTAGTATGTTACAACGCCAAAACTAAAGAGAAAAACGGAAATCAAGAGTAAGTTGGCAGGTCAACCGCCACTGCCAGGTTATACAATCTTTTTATATATAAAGATTATCTAGAAGAATGAAAATGTTGATGTCACATTTACGGATAATATTGATGAGAATGTTAATATCGACAAATATTTTAAAATTTTAAATATCACTATTTAGTTGTCACAATTTATTGAAAAATAATATAAAAAATGTGCTACAAAATTGTTTTTAGTGTAAAAAAGAAAAATTTTTCGTTGTTTTTTATATTCTCTGGACATTTTCAAAAATATTTTGAATATTTTTAGGTATTGTAGACATTTTACAGATACTTTAAGAAAAATATCTTTATTTTGTTATTCATGTTAAGACTTCAAAATATGAATAATGTCGTGAAAATATCGAAGATGCGTAGAAATTTTCATCCATGAGTGGTATAAAATCTACATCACTAAATTTATCAAAAAAAATATATTCGTTAGCTTCATGAGTTCAAATTGTGTAGCTTTGATATTAATCTCATTTTTAATTGGACTTACCCTGTAACGGAGTTTGAAGCTTAAGAGAGTCGATTATCAATATTTTTAGTTGAGATATTGATTTACGAGATGTGTGAGATGTTCATAAGGGCATTCATATGCAAAATAAGCTTAAATTAAGAGAATTTTTTATCATAGAGCATATTATTTTATATTTAATAAGAATTACGTTAAATTAATTTTTTAAGATTAATGTAAAAATTTTACAGTACATCATACTATTTTTATTATAAATCTGTCCGTTAAAAAAATAAATCTAATAGGAAAACGCAATTCTCAAGCAAAATAACATTCTCTTTTTTGCTCCGCTCCCATTAAGGGAATCTTTACGGCCACAATCTACAAATAGCAAATACTAAAAATGATGCCCATTTGCAGCTGACGGACAGTGTAAGTGTAACGTTGTTAAGCAGAGAGCACAAACAGATAAAAATAAAAAAAAAATAAAAAAAAATAAAAAAAACAGAGAGCACAAAATCCCACACATAACACTCACTCGAAACAGCTGACACGTTCCCTCTACCGTCTTCACATCTGGATAAGAAGCCCAACTACCCGATCACTCCCCTCCTCCACCGCACACAACCCCACAGGGCCCCACCTTTGCCCCTTTAATTTTTTTTTATTTTTTTTTTATCAATTTTCTTAAAAAATCTATTTGTAAAACAAAAGCAAACATCAACGCCACAACACCAGAGAAGACCATTGTTCCGCCATTTGTTTTCTTCTATCGTCTTCTTCTATGTTCCTGTAACCGCACTGAAATCGACCTCTCTCTCTCTCACAAAAACATGGCTACATGCACTTGCGCGCTCACGGTTTTCATTGAAAACGCTTCTTCGGCTTGAATATGGAAGCTCGCCGGCTCGCCGTTATCCGCTCCCACATCTGCCCAGTCGGGCCGGGCTTCACCGCGACCCGAATCGTGCACGTTTCCGATTCGGGTTGCGCCTCAGATTCTGGTGAAGATCGGGAGAAGAATCCGCTGAGAGAATGCGTCTTCTGCAAGATTATTCGCGGTGAATCACCCGCTTTCAAGGTTTTCAATTTTTTTTTGTTTTTTTCAAAAAACTTGTTATGCGTGTTTGGTCGATGATAAATAGGAAAGGGAATTCCTAGTCTTAAAAGACTCTCGATTGAGTCAATTGAAGCCATAATTTTTCATTTTGTTCGGGTTAATTAAAGTTCGATTACTTTGTTAATTTATTTAGTAAAGCCGACTATGAAACATCCAAATGCCATCTTACTTGATAGGAAATAAATGCCTTTATTGATTTATATGACAAAGAAGCAAAATCAGCAATCTTTCTGGTTATTTTGGTCCTTTAATGGTCTATCATTTGCTTGAATTTGATTGCTACAGCTTTACGAAGATGACACTTGCTTGTGTATATTGGATACGAATCCGCTGAGTCGTGGGTAAGTAAGGTATCATCTTAAGCTACAGTTATTAAGTTCTTCATCCAGAGTTATGAGAAAACACGCACAAATATGCGCAGAAATGTTAAATTATTATTATTATTATTATTTTGATCTAATACTAAAATTGTAAATTAATTAAATTTATGGTTTTCTTTTCCTGGTCCCGCAGGCATTCTCTTATAATACCAAAATCTCATTATTCGTCACTGGAAACAACCCCTCCATCTGTAAGTAATTGACTTAAACTAGACAAAATTGATTTTCAAGCAATAAACTGCTTAGATTTGCGCTTGTGTAATAGACGTTTCTCTGGAATTCTAATGCTATTTCAATACCTATTCTTGGGCATTGTTTATTAGAAGTTAGCGCGTTATGTACCGAGGGAAAGTTGTGTGTTGGTTTGAGGTTCCATCGGCATATTTGAGGAATAATATAGAGTAAAGTAAACAATAATCAATTTGTTTTGCAGGTGATTGCTGCAATGTGTTCAAAAGTGCCTTTTATAAGCACTGCAATTGTGAAAGCCACTGATTCTGGTGCGGCTTCAAAGCTTTGCTCGTTGCATCAGTGTATTTTCTTTCTGTTTGTTGGTTTTCCCCTTGATCGCCTTGCCATGAAGTTTTGCATTAATTGAACAATTTATTTACGGTTAGAGACCATAAATTGTTCAATTTCTATGAGTTCTAACGCCCCCAAACCTAGAAGGTTTAAAAATGGATAATCTTATAATAATAAAATGCAATTCAATTACATTTTCCAAGAGGTTGACTGAGCTCCAAATGAAATCCCATGAGAACATATGCGGGTTTGAAAAATGAAAAATGGTTTACTAAATAAGTTTTGCCTTTTTCAATTGAAATGGAAAACATGCGGGGAATGATTTGTGAACAATTGAAGTTATAGTGTTGGAGCTCAGTTAATATGTTAGATATCTATTGTTTTTAACTGGTATAGCTCCACAGATCTCTTTCATGGAAGTTTCTAATTGAAACACATTTTATTATTGTAGCATTTATCATTTTGTTTTTAAACAAGTTATGAGTGAGTAACCTTTCCTACTCCCCCCCCCAAAAAAAAGTGAGTAACCTTTCCTAACTTGGAAAGGTTCAAGAGACACTACATCTACATTTGACCTTCTAGGTTTTGCGACGTTACATAGAGCCTTATGGGACTTTTTTTCCGTGTTTGAAATTGTTATTGTTTTTGTTTTTCACATTTTTTGAGAAGGAAAAAATGAAAACGATTCCAAAACAACATTTGGCACAATTAAAGACAAAAAACGGAAATGAAAACGATTTTTTGGTTTAGTGTAAAATGGGAGAGAATTCGGGCGCGTTTGGAATTCGTTTCAAAATAATTTTGTTTTTTGTATGAAAATGAAAATGAAAACTTTTTCAATCTCAGACAGAAATCATTTTTAAAAATGCGTTTGGTAGTTTTATCAAGAGATTGTTTTCAGTATAAAAAAACCCATTAATGTCTCTCTTTCTCTTTCTCTGCTCGAGAGAGGAGAAAACGAAAACAAAAAATGAAAAACGACTAAAAGTCGTTTTTCATTTCTCTCATTTTACAATAAATCAAAAAATCGTTTTCATTTCCGTTTTTTATCTTTATTGTGTCAAACACCATTTTGAAAACCGTTTCATTTTTTATTTCTTGGAAAACGTGAAAAACAAAAACGGGATCAATTTCAAACATGACATTCATTTTTTGTTTTCGTTTTCTCCTCCCTCGAGGAGAGAGAGAGACATTAATAGGTTTCTTTAATACTGAAAACAATCTCTTGATAAAACTACCAAATGCATTTTTAAAAATGATTTCTGTCTTAGATTAAAAACGTTTTCATTTCCATTTTCATATAAATAACAAAATCATTTTGGAACGAGTTCCAAACGCACCTGTCTCCCAAGTCCGAACAAGATAGTTAGGAAAAAAGTAATTAGGTTAGGCAGGGTTGAGTATGGATAGTATCGATGCACCTTTGGTCTAAACTGAAATATTGATCCTTTAGCTCAACTTTGAATGCCGTTCAAGAAACATAATTATAGATGCGTTTTCCATGGGCCATTCTATCTTTTGCTTTGAACAATAGATTGTTATAATAGCCATTTACTTCAAACTTCTGCTTGCACTCCCTTTTGGAATTCTTAACGTTGATTTATTCCAGTTTTCCACTCGCATTTCCTTTTCTAAGTTTCTTTTTTTGAAGCCAGACTCATACCATTCTGCTTCTTTTTTATCTTCACCATGCAGATTCGTTCAACTTGTTGGTTAACAATGGTTCATCTGCTGGCCAAGTTATATTTCATGTGAGTTATGGCAATCCCCTTTTACTTTTCCTGTTGTTTATATGATAGCATGCGATTGAGTGTTGAGTGGTGATTATATCATTGTAGGAAAGAACAGTTTCACGGACGTTATTTTCAAAAATGAACCACTGCAACAGCTTGTAAATATCATTTTGGAAAAAGAAGTGTATCAGTTGTCTAGTTTGCTTAACTAGATCAAGTGAAACGTAACCTGATCCTAATTTTCTTTTTTGACATTGAAATTTCAGACCCATATTCATATAATTCCTCGCAAGGCCCGTGATTGCCTATGGGCATCTGAGGTACGTATTACATGGTTCTCTGTTTATTACTTGAAAAATTGAATAATCTCCAGAGAGAGATGTGTAACAGTGAGGTTTTACAGAGTTTGCGGAGGCATCCCCTGCAATTAGACGGAGAAGCATCTAGACTTGCAAATCGTGTTCGAGAGCAGCTGTCATTGTCGTTGTCGTCCAACGCTAAAGAAAGCGAAGGTGAAGAAGCTTCTAGTCTTGTCAGAAATTAGTGCGTCGTTCATCTCATGTTGTTGTAATCTTCTAGTTTAGAACTTTTGTGCTTTGTGAATATTTATTTTATTCTTTCAAATGCCTGAGAGTCAAAAGACTCAAAACCAACACAAATTCCCTGCTTCTATATATCTCTTATTTCCTTCTTTTCTCACAGTTTTGTTTACCACCAACAACAAAGATTAGCACTACTTATTTGATACAGTCACACCTTTGTATGAGATCCTCACATTAGCCACTGATAACGGATGATATAATAATTCGTGTTTACGATGATTATGTTGATACTTTACATTTTTCTTTCTTGTGAGCTGAAAAACACGGTAAAATTAATACACACATTACGTGAATTTTGCCTTGAGTCAGAAAGGTCATCTCCTCCATCTCTATTTTCCTCATCTAAGTTATGTCTTTATTTTCTTACTATCGTCTTTCCCTCCTACCAAACATAGCCTAAGTTATAGAAATTCTTCCACTTTATCAATATGTAATAAAGTAATAGAGGAAGTTAGCCTAAGTTATAGAAATTCTTCCACTTTATCAATATGTAATAAAGTAATAGAGGAAGTCTCCTGCAGATTTCGTTTAGTTCCTTCTGCAATTACTCTTTTGGTATAAAGTTGAGATTCCTACCATTATCCTTTCCTTTTACTAATTCATTGACTTCATTGCAAAACAAGAATGTTTTTGGACTAGGTATTTCTATTTTTAGATGGGACACGAGACTAGACCAATTGATATTCCTTCCTTGCTAGAGGACACCGTGTGATTTCCACTACATGTTGCACAAGCCACAAAGGCAGGATCGGACACTTTCTTCATAATATTGTACAAGCATTAGAGTTTTCCCACCCGATGTGAATTGCTCGTCGTTTATATATCCAAAACACTGAAAAATGCTACATTGTCCTGTTGTACTGAAAGTCTACTCTTCATAAGTTGACAATGCGTACGTAGGCTCCAGTTTTCTTAACAAAGAATTGAAAAAAAAGAAGTGTTTAACCTATGATAATTTGACACATACGAATGGGGGTTAAATGCCAGTCTCTCTCATTTATAATTAAGGGTTCAAATTTCCACTCCTCACACAGAGTTCCAACCTTATAAGTGGTGATGTTTCCCTATAGTGGGTATGAGGGCTCAATGGTATGGATGGCCTTTAAACATTACACCGGTGAAATTAGTTGATTCTTTTAATAAGCATTGGGTAGGAGCGTGAGGATATTAACGAATCTCTTTTTTCATCAATAAGAAAAACGGTGCGAGTAATGTGCTCCCTTCTAAACAGCTGACACTTTAAATTAGCACTCGATTGACAGCTGACACCTTAAATTAGCACTCGATTCAAGACTTTTAGAGAAGAGTTTAATTTATTTATGATCCGTTTAAAAGGTATATTCAAATCATAGTTTGAATTTATTGACAAGAATTTTGTGAGAAAATTTTAAAATTTAAATTCTTTATGAGATAAAAAATACTATAATAAAATCACAATTTGGGTTTGAATATAACTTCTAAACGTCTCTTAGGGCTTGTTCTTTTGCAAGTATTTTTGAGTTAAGTTTTTGAGTTGAGTTTGAGTTGAATTTGAGTTATAACTTGAGTTTAAGTTGTAACTTGAGTTTACGTTTGGTTGTGTATAACTTGAGTTATGGTTTGAGTTAAGAATTTTTTGAGTTTGTGTTTGTTTGTGATAAAACTTGAGTTGTGAATAGTGAATATCCTTTTTTTTCTCCTACATTTTTATTCAATTCTTTTACAATTTTTTTATTTTTCCGCCTTTATTATGTTTTATTGTAATAAATTACTTGTAATTACAAAAATAAAAAAATAATAAAAATAACAAGTACAAGCTCAGTTTTCATTTTAATTAAGTTCAAAAAGACAGCAAAAATACATATTTAAGTTTAAAAAGACAACAATGAACGATGGCATCAGCGTGCACGACGGTGCTGGTACACTGCCCACATTGTATGCGCCCTTGCATCCCTTAAAGCATTCATGTCAACTTCTGCATTAGACTCCAATGGTTGACCCTCATGGTTAGTATTGTCGTTAATGTCCTCATCAACATTCGGTGGATCAATGTCTGCAACCGGAACGCCATCTTGTGAGTATTGGTCCAATAGCCTGTCCCCATTACGGTACATGTGGATAAAATTATGTATTATAGCACACGCTACTGGAATCATAACTTGTTTGGTCATGGGGTAACGATTAATGGTTCTCAAAATACGAAATCTAGCCTTCCACACACCAAATGTTCTTTCAATGACATTACGCAACGAAGAGTGGGTGTAGTTGAAAAGCTCACGTTCACTGTGGAATCCTCTTTCACGGCGAGCCCTATACTCTTGCAAGTGGTACGTTGTCCCCCGATATGGTGCCATGAAGCATCCATTGTTAGCATACCCCGAGTCGACGAGATAAAATTTTTCTACACTTGTTCGTATATTAATTAATAAATAAGCGTGCGGATGAAGTATTTGAAATGTCAGTGTACATATAAGAAATCATTGTAGGCTGACCTGGTGGCGGTGTCGG